TACGGCCTGCGATCAATTGATTAACTTATTATTGTCCCTTTGGTTGTAAAGCGTCATAAATTTACACGCCTTTGCCACCTGGGACCTTTAAATTAACGATATACGTTTCGATCTGGTAGATTCGTATGAGATCAGACGAATTACTTAATGTAATGTATGTTATTCAGTTGGTTCAAAGAAATCCGTAAACATCGTGTGGCGCGCATGTGAATCTGTCGTTTACCGTGGAAATTCGGAAGCAAAGAACCTGCCGTCTCAGACCTGGTTTTGAAGGCTTGCGGATCACTGCTGCGCTAAGCCCCATAGAAAGCATGCTGAATCTTGACGCCACTTCTTTTTACTCAGTGAAAAGTAGAAGGCTCCATAAAAATCGAACCGAACATAGAACCCATATATTACGCATTATATCAGAAATGAAGAGAAAAATATTCCGTTACAGTTTGATTGTTCAACCTCTGCGAAATTTGGAGTGAAATTTGCCACCTACATATTAACATCGACGTTGATTATTTGTTTTTTTTTGCGATGTGACGCAACCGCCATTCACTAAAACGTTAAACCGATGTTGCTGGATTTGTCAGGGCATCATAGGAACCATCCGGTATAAGTTTAAATTTTCATCTGTGCTTCATGTCCATTTACGATATATGAAATTCCATCTTGGAATTCCAAAACTACTAGGGACCAAATGTCAGATCTTTAACCAAGAAGTCACTTAGCTATCACGGTCCCTGCTTTCTAAAAGAAATGTCTAGTAAGAATATTCACTTATTTTAAATTATGGTTTGGTAATAATTTTACAGATATCCCTTTTAAATTATTACTGAAATAATTTAGAATCGATGCCAAGAACGATCTTTAACCTTAACTATAATGAATCGTCAGTATGGTTAGTCACGTCCCCAGTTGGATAACGAACGTTCACTGGTACCGGGTATGCGGCTTCATTTCGGGAGAAAACAGAGAGTTTCAGGCTAAAGGCATTGTTTCTTTTCAAATAGGGCATAAGATCAATTTTATCACCATTCAGAATTTGGGGCATCTGAACTTGTCGTATCATGATGCTGAACTAATGGCCTGTCCAAGATGATAATACAAGTTTCCCTTTGAATATTCATCATGATGAGCTCTTACTTTACTATTGCAACGTCTGGAATGTACCTAGTATTTGAGTTTTCTTCTGGACCGCAATCCCATTCGCTGACGTAGTTTTTCACTACGCTGTACGTGATTCCAGCCAAACCTGTTTCATACGAGTCTACCCTTGTACTAAAAGCCACATGACTCAGGTACATTGACCAATTCTACGAGTGATTTAACTCTCTGTAATGGAAAATCCTAGTAGCCCCAACTCTAGACGTGCCAGAAGTCGAGCACTTGCATTCCATTCGAGGCTGTTTGAATAATAAATAAAACAAAAAATATTCGTTTATGTTAATAAATCATTGATTACTTTACTTGAAAGCCGGATTAAAAACTTTCTCATTCTGTGAATTTCGTACAAATAGTTGTCGATATCCAGGTAGAGAGAAGAATTGTATTCACTGAAAATTTTGCGTTATTTCAGGCATGCAGATTGTGGCAGCACGTTCCAAGAAAAGGTTCATTCCTTCATTAGTAATTGCATCCTTGGCTTAGAAGTGAGTTAAAAGGAGCTTCACTTGCATCGGTATGCTCTGATTCATGAAAAAATTATGTTGAAACAGTTAGTGAACGTATACCACAGGAAATACGGAAAATAAAAATTCCGGGACGAAGCAATTGAAGCATTCAAGGAGTAGCTGAAGTGAACGACGTGGCAAATTTTCTCCACCGAACGGATCCTCGCTGAATGGCAGCTGTTTCACTTAAATATATTGCCTTTCCTTGGACGTCTCATCGGTTGTGAACCCGCTACAAACGAGTTTATAGGCACTTCCTCTCCTCTGCGTTCTGTGCTCCCTGTCCCCATCGTTGACCAAGTGATTTGAAGCCGTCCCAGCTCGCTTTGGAACGACTAAAGGGATGTCTGTGATCTACTGGCGTCGATTCCGTAATTCGTGAGGTTTACCCGCTGTTCCTCAAGTGAGTTACGTAGACAGCAAAACTTCTCTTGCCATCGTAGACGCCAAAGAGTACATGCGTCAATCCAGTGGCAGCATTCCATAGGCCAATTTAATCTAATTCGACGATGGACGACAAACTTTCTGGAACCTCCTACTATTGCGTTTCAAGTTTTTGGCCACATCTTTCATCTCCTTCGCGCATATCAGTGCGTTGTATAGTATGATCGAAAGCAACAGTTATGTTAAGTTCTTACACTCAAAACCTACAGAACGGACAGCTGATGATGAATCTTTTCGTTAAAAATGTTTTATATGATTGAAATGGATTCAGAGCATGATTTGTTATCATTTTCACAATAATAACGAATTTAACATTTCAGGTCTAAAGGATCCCGGAAAGGTTTCCACAAAACCGCCTAAAATCTCGAAGGCTTAAAATCACCATAGCGTCTTTTCTATACGTGTATTATTATTGTTTCTCATAGTCATATCAATCCATCGTTGCGGTATTACTGTAAAATTGGACAAATTTCATAAAAGACCCTAATATTGACCAACTGATGTCCTGTCAACCTCTGAGCTGTGCTACCGGCAGCAGTCCGTGCTCAAAACCGAATGGTCACCACTGGTCAAAACGTTTCGTACCGCTTCCGACCGCAACGAGCTACAAATGACTGTGTCATCGGCGAAAAATTAACCTCGAACGGCCAAAACACAATCCTCACACCACCGTTGATAACGTCGTTTGTTCATTCTTTCGCATCTCTTCGTCGGCGTCGTTCTAATTGTTCGATCCGGCAGTCGAAATTAGGGATTCCACCTCGACGATATAATTCATTTTCCTTTTATATACGCGCGTTGGAGCCAATCACGAAGTTAACAGTGGAAAAAGTGACCGAATCCGTGCGTGATTTATGCACGGTAACACCGTAATGGACAGGCTGTACGTTCGAATTCGAGTCGGCCTTTGGCCGGTCACTTGTCATTTCGGCGTGTGTGCTTTAGGGCCTCAGCGGCATGCAGCGTTTCGGCCGATCGGACAAAACCGACAAGGTCCAGGTCAAGACCTGATGACCATTTTTGAGGTCATTTTTCGAAGGAAAATGTCGGTTGCTGTTTTGTCATTTTGCATATTCCACAACTTAATGTTGCCGAGAACGATCATTATCGTTTCTAACTGCATCACTCAGTCTCAGGGCGCTTTGTGAGCTTTTTTCCTCATACTTCAGGCGCAATATGCACATCAGAAGCAACGAAACATCGTAGTTTAAATGCCGTGTACGTTGCTTTTTTTCTGTTTCCTCAGAATGAAAGCTAATCCTTCATCGAAATTCGCCGTCGTTAAACTTGAAAACAAATACGCGAACGACCGTGCCAGAAAACGTTTCGCTAAAAACTTCGAAGATGGAGTTAAAATTTTTGATAGATCGATAATAATTTGGGTGGGACAAGAAAATGCTTGAATAACTTGACTGTAGACATAACCTGAATAAAACACTGGCGATAGTTTTAGAAGCTGAAACGGAGCGATCATCTGGCTGAGTCATTTTTTAAGTTAGAACTATGAGCCGTATTTTTCAACCAAAACCGTGCAACTAACGCGCAGGGCTAAATTACCGAAATGTTGAAGATCAATAAAATAAGACCAGGTACCTGAAGAATAAAATCTTCATGACGTGAAAAGGAATAAATTGACGAACAAACATGCGTAAATTCAAGCTCGGAACTATAGGAAAATGACATGGCATCAAACGGAGCATAACAACCGAACTTGGCGTGGTCGAAAATTTTCCACTGGCATAAGATAGACAGCAAAAGACTGACGCAGGATATCTGAACATCTTACCATGAAGTCATGGCCACATTATTCAGAACATAGTAAATGAGGAATGTCATTTTGTTGTGATTTAATGTTCAGGTGTTCAGATGATAGAAGGAATGAAGGACTCTTTACTCTTTACAAATTTATTCCGCCTTAGCGGTGTAAATTTCTCTCCCCGTGTTTCCTCAAAGATCTGTAACGTTAATTGGTACAAATTACAAGGACGAAATGCATTTCTGGAGAAATGCACGACCGAAATGAGTTAAAAAATCAAGCTGATTTAAAGCTTAGACTTATTCAATGACAAAAATTTTTCTTTCACTTTTAAATCCCTTTACGTTTAGGCTTTCGGTACAGAAACTTTCATCAGAGATTTGTCCCAAACACAGAGACTTTGTTAAATACCTCTAATGATTTCTGTTCTGGCGGAAGCTGAAACGTCAGAATAAATTGGAAAGAAGAATGTCAAAGTCATTTGTATCGAAAACGTGCAGAAAATACTTAAAAGTTTGGAAAGATACTTATTACAAGCTGAAAGGAAACCAAATTAATTAATTCAATAAAGAATACGATGTGGAACATTCGGAGATGCTCCAGAGGAGCTCTAGAGGCAGACGAAGTCAGTTGTGAACGACGATATGAAACAAAGTAGCATCTGCGTTGTCGCATCTTTGCACAGTGGTGATCAGACCAAATAAGATTAAATTAACCAATCCGAGGATGAATCAAGCAGATGAAAAAACTAACAGGAAAATTTTGACGCAATAAACGTTTGAACACGCGACGGTCGAAAATATGACCTCTGTTAAATCGCGTTTAACAGAAAATAGTCACATTTATTCATCATTTGCGCACTTCCACAAACATTTAAGCCAAGAAACTATTGCATGCCGGAAATAGTTTTATCTGAATTCAGTTTGTTATAAAATTAGGAAGTTTTTAAAACTTTAATACTTGTAGAATACAAAGTCCTTATTATGACCATGAGTATGTACTTTGCTTTAGCGACACTCCCGAGTCAAGTTAATCTGCTTGTGCAGTGGGTGTTGCCACAAGCTTAAACACGTTCTTCTAAAATTGTACAGGCCCATGAAACGCATATGCACAGAGGTTCGATGGCAGGTCAGAATCTTCGAGTCGATTAACGAACAGGTTTATTCAGCTCAGCTTTCATCCAGCCCCAAACGTGCAAAAATACCACGGAAGTGTTGCCCTTATCAATACCTCCTCTCTCCATCCATATTTCGTGGAAACAAGGCACAAGACAGCGTTATAGTATAACGAATGTCTGAAATAACTTATACAGACATTAATTGCGAAGGTATTGTCCCCTTACTGTAGTTAGTTATAAACTATGCAATTTTCATGATATGAAACATGTGCTCAGAGCATCAACGTTTACTTATGCATTGTCAGACGACGCATCACGGTAGGGAACGTTTTCCAGGTCTTGTTGAAATAACCGCAAATTCAGCCTACGAGTAATCAACCTTTTATATGAAGCATCATCATCATCGTAAGCAGTTTCGTTCAGGGAGGACTCTCTGCCCTGAATTACTGTAGTATAATTGGTCAACAGATATTGAAATCATGAAAACCCTTCACTAGTATGCTAGTGTGTTGGAATACAATTCGTCGTATTTAACATGGACTTGCAATTTGGAACATTGGGCATTATTCTCTTGGCCCAAATGCAAATGGCTATTTCAGATCGCTACTCCTTATGAACGTGGTTAAAAATTATGAAAGTTGCTCAGAGGTACTCCGACTAGTTCTTAAAATTTTGGTGGCACGATGTCAAAGGGGTCGGCTTCGAACTCCTGGTGCTATATTCGAATGCGCTGAAGGGACAACATTTGTATTTATCTCAAATTGCTTTTGAGCAACGAATTAACCCCACATAGTCTCAATACGGACAGTAACTCGGCAACCTGCAAAAAATAGGCATAGCATGGTATTCTGGTATGGTCATGCCAGGACGGACGAGGCATACGGCCATGGTGCCAATACAAACCCCTCCTGTGGCTGCATT